CTGAAGTAATCCACAACTTGTTCTTGATGGGGAATCTACTCTACTACTAGTTGCTGTCATATGATCTGCATTTGACAGAACGGACAGTACTTTGCATTCCTTTTATACAGATTACAAAACCAAAAACCTTGGTTCACTTAAAAGCACAGATATAACACTTTATTTGGATATATTTCATATGTCTGTGAAGCAAATATTCGGTGAGATTCCGTTGCGTTTGTTGACCACCAAATTGTCGTAAAAGCACACATCTGTTCCGAGCTTTTCCCCCAGAGAAACATCAGTCTATATCGATCGCTGATCTTATACTAATATGTATGCAGGGCTTCTTTCCCCATTTTCACCATTCAAAACTTTACGAGTGACATGTCTTGTGTATTCTAGTCTTAAGTCTTTGTTAGAATGTAGAAAAACTCAAGAACTCTCAAAACAAGCTTGATTTCAACAAAACAAAACAATTTAAAAAGCAAAGCAAAACAAAACAAAACAAAACATCTTCGATGCAAAAAACAACTTGATGGATTATAAAGTGAGTTTGGCATGCTGCCGGGGAGAGAACCCGAAGCTTTTGAGATCTTCGAGCCCTGGGCTCCGTCCTCCGTCCTCATGTTCAATTTATTTAGGTTGCATGTTTTTGGTTGCATGGAAGGAAACAGGAAAAACTGGGGAAAACCCAACTGAGCATGGGGAGAACGAGCAAACTCCACACAGAAATGTCAACTGGTTTGGTAGGGACTTAAACCAGAGACATTCTTGCTGTGAGGCAACAGTGCTAATCACTGGGCCGCTGTGTTGCCCCTCTTGAAAAGGGGGATGTAGAGGTGGGTAGGGGGGATTCTTTAAGACAAAGATACTGAGATAAGAAAACTGGTTATTTATAGTGAGTTAGGAATCATCTGATTGGTGAATCAACCGTGAGCTGATGTGGGACCAGCTGTGATCAATCATAAGCAAAGGATCCTCCCAAAATTTGTTAATAAATAAACTTAACAAATTGTTGGTTGTTTGTGGAATCACAACAACAGAACAAACAAAACATGCTTGTAGTAAATAAAAACATATAAGATATTACACAAAACCTCAAACTAAAATAACAAACAGAAAACAAAGCAAAACATGCCAAAATGTGGGAATGTGAGTGGTAATGCACACACAAATACTAATATAATTATATGATACACGCCAGTTAAAGCTGACTTCTCCACCCAACAGAGAGCAGCAGACTTTATATCAGCCACACGCCACAGGCCACCAGAAATCCACTCACACTGCGATCTAATCTGCTCTTCAGTTATAACTTCATTTCCATTTCTCTTCTTCAGGAAGTATGACTGAACTCTCGCTCTCCTCAGCGCCCCGCGAATCAAACGGCATCGTTAATAAACCTATTGATTCCACATATTAATGTATTCATCAGCGGATACAGTGAGGGAGAGAGAACAGCTGCTCTCTTTATGGAAATCTCTAAAGATTTCATTAGGCTTTGGGGAGGTTTCATTACAGACTGTGGCCCTCTTCTCCTCCTGTTTCTCTCCACTCTGTTCATCATCTGCATTATCGATTCAGAGCTGCGGACATTTTAATTTCACGAGAGAGCCACGCTCAGCCGACCTCCGTCACAGAGCAGCGCGTTTGTGACACAGAGGAGAGAGACAGAAAGCCAGAAAGAGTTGGAATTTAGTAGTAAATCAGGAAGAAGTTTGCCCTTTTGAACAGCACATTGTGAAAAAGAGAGTTATGGGATAGAGGTGATGTGTGGACATGAATTCCTTTGTCAGAAGCGGGTCACAGACACAGGCTTGCAGTAGTTTGCCAAGAGATTAGAGCAAATTTCAGCCAAAAATGAAAATTCATTCATGCAGGCCCACATGTTGTTCTAAACCCGTATGACTTTCATCAGAAACAAGCAGTTTGGAAACATTGAAGTTGTAGTGGGTGGTATTTTTCTTATGTTCTTATGTTTCTTATGTTCCGCAAACAAAGCTGCTTCTATGCTGCAGTTTAAAACTACCTAAAATGGTTAGGATTACTACTATAGATGCATTCTGCTGTGACTTTTTGTAAAAACAGTTCATTCCAGGTTGTCCCATTCAGTTCTAGCTCAATCTACTCCTCTGCTATCAATGAGAGTAACATCTTGACTTCTTCTTCTGACCATGTTACATTTCAGATGTCTTTTTCTTGTGATAATATAAAAATGGTTGAGTCATGCGAACCAACAGTACAGCAGTAGATGTGGCTGACTACTTAAAATTGGAGGGTTTGATTTTTCATGTTGTAAATCATGACAATGGCAGTAACAATTCTCTCAGACCAATCAGTGATCAGCATTGTGTATGTATTACATTTTGGTAATGGTATTGCTTGATTGGAACCTCACCTGAGGTGGTACTAAAAAGTACCAGGTACTAGGTAGGGAACGCACTGGAAAAGCCTCTAGAATGAGCTGTACTAAACTGGCAGTGCCATGCAGTGGAAATCACATTAAATGTTTTCAATTATATATATATATATATATATATATATATATATATATATATATATATATATATATATACACATATATATTGAATTAAAGTGATCCATGTAAAAGGCAGCATGGTGGCTCAGTGGTTAGCACTATTGCCTCACAGCAAGAATGTCACTGGTTTGTGTCCCAGCTTTTCTGTTCAGTGTGTTCTCCCTGTGTTGGCGTGGGTTTCCTCCGGGTGCTCCAGTGTCCCTCACAGTCCAAAGACATGCAGTGTAGGTGAACTGAATAAACTAAATTGGCCGTAGTGTGTGAATGTGAGAGTGAATGGGTGTTTCCCAGTACTGAACTGTGGCTGGAAAGGCATCCTCTGCGTAAAACAAATGCTGAAATAGTTGGTGGTTCATTCTGCTGTGGCGGCCTCTGATAAATCAGAGACTAAGCTGAAGAAAAACGAATGAATTAAATAATGAATGAAATCTGTAATAGCAAAGCAAAGTTTTCAGCAAATCCTTAAAAATTCCTTCGGAAAAAAAAAAAAAAAAAAAAAACAAGTTAAAACAAACACAACAACTTCAAAAGTTCACACTTAGCTGATGATTGATTATGAAGTGACAAAATACTAAGTAAAACAAAACAATAAACAAAAACAATAAACAAAACAAAACAAAAGGTTTTGCCTCATATTAAAAAAACACAAAACAAAACTGATGATAATAATGATGAAAAAATAATAATAACGCAAGACAAAGTCTTAACTCACAACAAAATAATAACAAAAACATTAACAGTGCAAAATAAATGAATAAAAATAACACACAAAACAAAACCCCAAATCAGTTCTACCGCATTAACCCCATATTTTGCAATCCAAAAACAAAGCAAAGCAAAACAAAATGAAAAAACTTTGCAAAGACATCTGCCACACTGCAATAATGAACAGAATTATAAAACTTAAGAAATAAATAAAATAAAAGACAAAATACAACACAAGCAAATACAACCTTAAAATAAAACTTCTGCTCTACCAAACATATTCAACTCAAACAACTGAAACCAAACAAGAAGAAAAATTAACATCTCAAATAAAAATAAAAGAAGAAACTAAAATCAAAATCAATGCGATGAAAAAAACTGTAAATATTGTTTCAGTCAAGACTAAAATCAAAGAACAAAATACAAAACAAACAATACAGCACAAAAATTAGTACCTTGGGCTTAACTACTAGCAGGAACAAATTAGTACCTTGGGCTTAATTACATGAACAACATGAACAAAATAATAATAATAATAATAATAATAATAATAATAATAATAATAATAATAATAATAATAATAATAATAATAATACAAATAATACTAATATTACTACTACTACTACTACTACTAATAATAATAATAATAATAATAATAACAATAATAATAAAATATTAATAATAAAAAAAAAAAGCTAAACACAAACAAAACCCCAACAATGTAGTCACTGGCATCAGAAGACCTGGAATTTATGAAAGATATGATCCAGTGTGTGACTGTGTTGTTTGGACAAAGCAGCAAATACAGTATATATTGCTCAAACGATAGATAGTCACACAGCTTTCAAAAACAAATGAGGATAAGCAAACGATGACAGGATTGTCATTTTGGCTTTAACTGTTCCTTTAAAACTGTAAACAAGGATACGCTTGATATTCTGTGCTCAGCTAAAAGGCAAAATAATTTGCAAGTCTCCTTTTTTTGTATGATTGAATGCGATTTGTTTCACTTGTTTTCAATTATTTTTCAGGGTTGCGTTCTGGTTTGGTGCCAAGCGTGAAAATTCCGTCTTTCCTATGCAAGACTTGAAAGTGATTAGAGTTTTTGGAAGTCATGTTGAATAAGCCTGAAGAACAAGAAGTGTGTGTGTGTGTGTGTGTGTGTGTGTGTGTGTGTGTGTGTGTGTGTGTGTGTGTGTGTGCGTGTGTGTGTGTGTGTGTGTGTGTACGAAAGGGGAGAGACAAAACAAGCAAAACATTCACACAAACACCAAGGCTTTTATAATAGAGAGATAGAGACGGGATATCAATATACAAACCTTTCAATGCCATTCAGAAGGCTGCCAAAAAAAGACGAATGAAAGATGGACAAAGTGGGACTGAAATAGAACCCCGACAGAAAAAAAGAGGATGCTGCTATCTAAACAGCCCATGCCAGATCTCAGATTACACCCTGAACCCACGAAGCAAACTCAATCAATACTCTTCCTTTTGTCATTTTAAAAAGGCACTGCCATGCAAAAACCTGGCTGGAATTAAAGCGGAAATGCCCACGCTGATACATGCGCAGATAGAGCCGTGCCAGCGAGGAGATTTGGATGCGAGACAGAGGCAGCAGAGAGACTACAAATACGCAGCTTCATAAAAAGAGATGACCTCAAAACGGTGAACTGCAAACATCAAACAACATCATTTGCACAGAACCAAACACAAAGGAGCAACATCTGTGTTGGGAGAGAGGGAGGGAGGGAAATCACGGGAGATGGGAGCTCACCTGGATCCATTTGTCTGGCACGGCCATGGTCAGACGATAATCAAAGCCCAGTCCTCCCTCTTCAATGGCCCTGCACAGGCCTGGCATCCCTGATACATCCTACACAAAAATCCATGAGGAAATGGAGAGTGGGGGGAAAATGTGTGAGAATGTGGATTCCCTTCTGGAATGATACGGATTAAGCAGAGATTTGGAACATGAAAGTTGGATTTTAGCTGGTCTACAGCTAGTTAGTAGCCGGGTTTCTATTACCCTTCAAATTGTATCAGATGAAAATATCCCTGACTCTGTAATTCAAAGAACTATAAACTAAAACTGCATATATATATATATATATATATATATATATATATATATATATATATATATATATATATATATATATAGAAGGGCATCAGTCAGAATTATTAGCCCCCCTGAATAATTATACCCCTTTTTATCCCCCCAACTTCTGTTTTACAGAAAGAAGATTTTTTTTTCTACACATTTCTAAACCTAATAGTTTAATAACTCATTTCTAATAACTTATTAATTTTATCTTTGCCATGATGACAGTAATTAATATTTTACTAGATATTTTTCAAGACACTTCTATACAGCTTAAAGTGACATTTAAAAGCTTGACTACATTAATTAGGTTAACTAGGCAGGTTAGAGTAATTAGGCAAGCTATTGTTTAATGATAGTTTGTTCTGTAGACAATGGCTTAAAAGGGCTTATAATTTTGACCCTAAAATAGTTCATAATAAATTTAAAACTTTTATTCTAGTCTAAATAAAACAAATAGAACTTTCTCCTGAAGAAAAAAAATATTATCAGACATACTGTGAAAATTTTCTTGCTCTGTTAAACATCATTTGGGAAATATTTAAAGAACAAAAAAATTCAGGGCGATGGGGGGTTGGGGGGTTGGGGGAGTGGGGCTTATAATTCTGACTTCAACTGTATATTCGTTCATTCATTTTCTTGTCGGCTTAGTCCCTTTATTAAAATTATTAAATTTAATAATATTTAAAGAAACGGCTGAGCTATAGTTTTCATATTCTTCACAAGAATATACAGAATCTGTTGTCATCAGTTTTGGACATTAGACATTAGAGGAAAAAATGTGTCACACAGAATCCTTAAATGCTGTCACTTCAAAAAAGCTTTTTTTTTTTTTAATCACTCATCACAATAAATTTTGCCAGAGTTTTTGCAAATGTGTAATGGAAAACAGGCAATTGCGAAAAACTAACAAACCAGCATGCCAGACTGTAGCAACTTGAAGGCATAATTCATTTTAAAAAATGTCACATGGAAAGCAAAAACATTGATTATCGCTTTAACTTATTATTAGAACATACTGTAGAGTTTTGGAAAGGATAACAGCCAGAAAACACATATCTCATGTGAATTTGTGGTTATCTCTTTTTTAGGATTTGAATTTTTTTAGGATTGAAGAAGTAATGAAGAATATACTAATGAAATATTTATTTATTTATTTATTTATTTATTTATTTAGACTAAGTAACTAACTAACTAACTAACTAACTAAATACATAATTTATCACAAATAAATAAATGATAAATACATTATGTATCATAAATAAACTACTAAACAAATATACATTGCGTGCAATACTAGAAATAACTAGAAATAACAAATTTTCAATTTAAGAAATAACTGTAAAACAGAAAGAAAAACTTGGTTCAAATGTTTGGGCCATATTATCTGGTATCATTGTGTCCTGTGACAGGGAGAAACTGAACTGGGTAAGAGTAGAAAATGTAATTACTAGCTGTTAAAGGCATAATTTGATCTAACATAAAAAAAGAATAAATAAATAAATAAACTCCTTTCACCTTCAAGTGGTTCCAAACCTTTATGAATTTCTTTATTGTGTTAAACACTAAAGAAGAATTTTTTTTCAGACAGGTTTTAAACAACCTGAAACCTGTAACCATTTACATCCATCCCAGCAAGCACAGGATGTCAACATAAAGTCAGGTTAACATTGTACACTAACGTTGTTGCATTTTGTTTAAAATTGAAAATCGGGTTGGTGCCAGAACCTGATGTCATTGTCAAAACATTCTACCTAAAATCAACCAAATCTCAACGTCTAATTATGTTACAGCTTGGCATTGGGGGCGTTACCACCACAGTGTGTATCAGAATTTAGATTTTGGTTGCCATAACTGACAAATGAATGTCAGTATTTGACATCAATATGATGTCGGTTAAAGATGTTGGCTCGAAGTTGGATGTTGGTCACTTTACAACACAACGTAAAATCAACCAAATATCAACTTCTAATGATGTTACAGCTTGACATTTTGTGGACATCAATATGATGTTGGCTCAACTTTGAGTTTCGATTACTTACCAACACAACCTAAAATCAACCAAATATCAATGTCATTTGACATCGTTATTGCACGTCAAAATAACGTTGTCCTTAGACACTGACATTGCATTTTAATCACCTGAAGTCACAATCTAAATCTAACCAAATATTAACATCTTATGATGTTGTGTGCCTGATGGGATAGTAAGAAAAAAATACTATGGAAGTCAATGGTTACTTGTTTACACACTCTTTTTAAAAAAAATATATTCTTTTGTGTTTAACAGAAGAAAGTAAAACTGACAGGCTTGCACAATTGAAGGGTTAGTGAAAAATGTGTACATTTACTCTGTTGGACTATTCAATGATGATCTGCCATGTGAGATCACATACTGTGTGCATGTTTTAAGTTTGGCAGAAAGAATTCTGTGAAGAGTCCCCTAATGTGTATGATTAGTATTTTATAATCGGTTTAAAAATTCCTGTATAGTCTGAGCCCAGTTTAAAGCAGATGTCATGACTTCAGTGGATAAAGATTTTAAATCACACAAAGCTAGCTAATTATAATCTTAGGCTATTTTCGACAACTTTCAACTGGAATTTTGAATAAAAGAGAAAAGGATAGAAACCTACACTTAAAACTAAATTTAGAGTCAAGTTTGGCAGGTAAGTTCTATTCAGATCTGATCATGATCTGTCAGATTTCCCTTTCATCTGCCACACTGGTAGCTTTAAAGGTTATAAAAAACATAGAGGGTAAAAACAGTCATTCAGAATTTTCTTGTATATCATCCCTTCAAAGTAAATTAAGGAGCTGCTTTCTCACATGCAAAATGTCTGACACCCCGACACAAAAAGTGTCATATGTCTGGAAAGTGAGAAATGTTGATTACCAAGAGCTTTTGAGTAAAAAAAAAAAAAAACTGATTCAGAAAATGTTTTTTTCTGCAGTGAGAGGTTTTGGGATTGAATAAATGTCTGGGAAGAATTTTACCTGGTTTGTGGCAACCTTTGAGATACACATTCCTGCTGTGTTCAGGGATGCAGTTGCACTCTTCTACTTTTCCATTCATTCTGTACTTTTGATTAATCGCATTGGCAGATGGGCAAATTAAAGCAATTTGAAAAACGCCTGCTTCTATTACAACCTGCCCGTGGGTCATACCAGACTGCTGAAGAAGAGAGCGTGGCACGGATCCATACAGCGCCTGGCCCTGAAAATCTCTCCTGTTCTTTTTCTTGAATCTTTTGGCCTTAATCACCCAATTATCACCCTGATCCATTAACCACAGCGTTGAGCTCCTTCCTCTCAGGAGCTAAGCTTTAAATAAACGCACCGGCACAGAGCAGGAGAATAGAGAAGAATGAAATGAATTTTCCACTCTGGAGTCAGAAAAAGGTAATAGGGGCTGTAATTGGTGGGAAAGAGGTACGAGCATGAGAAATTATACCTTTTTGTGATGAAAGTACAGCGGGCAGGTACATTCTCACCTCCGCTACAGTGATGCATTGTGGGTAGAGCCTGTGCAGGATGTGATTGGCCAGCATTAGGTAAATGAGTGCGTTTTCATCCACTTGCATGCCAAAGTACTCGCTGTAGTTCCCCGAAAATGATGTGTCTGGACAAAACAAGGGCATTTGACTGTAATTCAGAGGAAAATCTCCAAAGAGACACTGATTAATAATCATAAAGTCATAAGTGAACCATTTCACTGTAAAATGTACAGAGCGGCCAAGGTCTCTCATAATTTATGATGGTGGTCTAAGAGGGTCCTTCAAATCTGTTCATGCAGTTTGTACTTTTCTTGCATATTCAATGATTCAGAGCTTTAATAATGCTGTAGAAATGGCACAGTTAGCACGACTTGCTCTACACAAATCTGGATCCAAACTTTGATGTATAGATTAACTTATACAGACTCGTTCTCTCTTGAAATCAATGTAGGCACTTTTTTTATGGTGGCCGAGAGAGTTTAACGTGCTGCAATTTAAGAAAACACAGAAAAAAAAAAAGAAAAAAAAGACATCAGCAAATTGAGAAAAGATGTTCATCATACGTGCTGAAAAACCTCACAATGAATACATAAAAAAAAACATGCTGCATTTTCTTCCAACGCAAACAGATTAATAAAACGTGATGCATTTTCTCCCAACGCAAACAAGTTACAAAAACATACTGCATTTTCTCACAACCCAGGAAGCACACAATGTCATAACATGTTAATATTAGGTTAGATTATGATGGTGTCAAGTGTCCAAAATTTAATGTCTAGCCAGCATCTAAGGACAAAGTTATTTTGACATCCAATAGCGATGTCAAATGACGTTGATATTTGATTGATTTTAGGTTGGATGTTGGACATTAATGTCAGCCTGACGTTGGGTTTTGATGTCAACCTGATTTTCATTTTCAAACATGTGCAAAGTCCCACGATGTTGGGGTATACAACGTCAATCTGACATTCTGTGCCTGCTGGGAACACTTGCAAAAAGAATGGAATACAACAGAATTGTTTGAAGGGGTCCCTTAAAATGTGACAGATGCTGCAGTGCCATGACTATGGCTCAGTAAAGTTGTAGGTTATCTTTGAAAGGTGTTTTTTGTTTGTTTATTTTAACATTCTGATTTCCTTGTCTTTTGTATTTCATTAACCTAAATAACCACAACCTAAATAGTTGGGTCTGTCATGTTTTAGGGTCCCCTTCAATTATTTCCATTTTTTCATAAATTATATAAACATTTTTACCTGAACTACAGTTGAAGTCAGAAATATTAGCGCCCTTTTTACCCCCCCCCCCCCCCCCCAACTTCTGTTTAACAGAAAGAAGATTTTTTTTCTACACATTTCTAAACCTAATAGTTTAATAACTCATTTCTAATAACTTATTAATTTTATCTTTGCCATGATGACAGTAAATAATTTTTGACTAGATATTTTTCAAGACACTTCTATACAGCTTAAAGTGACATTTAAAGACTTAACTAAGTTAATTAGGTTAAATAAGCAGGTTAGGGTAATAAGGCAAGTTATTTGATAACGATGGTTTGTTCTGTAGACAATCGAGAAAAAAAATTGCTTAAAAGGGCTAATAATTTTGACCTTAAAATGGTTTTTAAAAAATGTAAAACTGCTTTTACTCTAGCTAAAATAAAACAAATAAGACTTTCTCCAGAAGAAAAAATATTATCAGACGTACTGTGAAAATTTCCTTGCTCTGTTAAACATCATTTGGGAAATATCCAGTGCTATTTAAAAGTGTTAAAGTGTTTTTGTAATCGGTTCCTATTGTGAGAAAATGCAGCACTTTTTTTTTTTTTTTGCTTTGCATTTTTTTAAAAATCTGTTTGCTTTGTGAGGATATTTAGCATGTATGCTGTCAAAGGCATGTTATGTAATTTCAAGTGTTTTTATTAATTGCAGCATGTTAAGCTCTCTCGACGACTGTACTTTTTAGTTTCATCTGTAGTTTATTTTTATCCACTTTTTGGAAAATTTCTATTTTATTATGCATCAATTAATCAGTTTAGTGCATTTAATGCTGATGTAAGAAGAATTTGTATCCGTTTTTCGCAAATGCATTCTTCAGAGATGGGGAGGGAAACAGAAATAAAATTCTAAAATACAGATTTTCCTAAATTATAAAACCAGCTAATCATCTTAGAATTCACAATACATGATTTTCATAATTGAAGTATTGATGTTGTTCTCACACTGCATGACTATTTAGGGTAATGTTCAGTTGCTGTTGTGTTTATACTGCATGGTAGATCTGTGATAGGAGGATACACACTGTAGGACTAAAAACTATTGCTGACAACGTTTTCTGACTCACAAATCCATGCAAGAATTGATAAGATCACTCAAGATCATGTGCAAGACTGGAAATGGTGCAATAAACATTTTAAATATTTATTTCAAATGGTCAGTGTGCTCACAATGATTTTACAGTAAAAGGGCAAAAAGAAAAAAGATTATGGAGGAGGAAATATTCGGGGAGCTGCAGGGCTGTTTAAAGAAAGAAAAAACAGGTGAAGGTCAATAAATAATTCTGAAATGTGCTGCTGCTGTGGCTTAGCAAGCAAATGGTTATTTGAGTCTGTTAATGTTAATGTAAACTTATTGATTGTGATATTGTAATCTATAACTCCTCCCCGAACTGACTCATCTGTATCCTGCTCTCTCATTGGTTGTTGGTCATCGCTGATGTGTTTTTCAGTCAGATTTCATTCACACAGCATGTTTTTGAATCATGAAATTACACAGGTGTCAGCGACACGCCAGCCATTCACACTGTGCAATTGATGCTCAAGTGAATGAGCATCAATTTGCCCCTGAATTTGGTCTTTTGTCTGCGATTTCCCAAAATCTGTATGCACGCGAAAATCAGGGCTAAAATTGTGAACTAGGCAATAGACTAGTTTCAACTAATTTAAACTAGAAATTCCTGTAAAAATTACGCTAAAGTGGAGAGAAAATTTGTGGAGAATAAAAGAAAATGATGGCAGTGTGTTTGATTCAGATCTGTTCTTGCTTTTTGTCAGATTTCCCATTTCATCTGCCACACTTGGAGCTTTTTAGGTAAAAAAAAAAATGTAGGGGTTGAAAACAGTAATTCAGAGTGTTCTTGAACATCATCCCTCCAAAGCGAATTGAAGAGCTGCTTTCTTATATGCAAAATGTCTGGCACTCAGAGGTGAAGTGTCAGTTGGTTGGAATGTGAGAAATGGTGATTTCCAAGAGCTTTTGAGGAAGAACAAAAACGATTTAAAAAAAGGCTTTTTCTGCATTGAGAGGCCTTTGGATTGAGTTAATGTATGTAAAACAATGTTGGCTGACCTTGCATCAATGTATATTGTTCTTAAGAAAATAAACAACAGATAAGTAGCAATTATTACGAGTTTACACATGCGTGATTTTCAAAGTCATGTTGATTTTACACAGCATGGCAATTTGAGGTAGGGTTCAGTTTCTGCTTTGTTCACACTGCATAATGGATCAATGACAGGATGATACTCACTGCATGGCTATAACAGAAACAATCACAGACAACTTTCTCTCTTTCAAAAATGCCATGTGAAGTGATAAGGAAATAAAATGTAAGATCAGAGTTAAGTCAATAAATAATTTTGCAATGTATGGTAAATGTTTCTGTTTATTGCTATTGTCAAGCTTATTTATTCTGATATTGTGGTCTATAACTCCTCCCTGCTGCCCTGTATCTTACTCTCTGATTGGCTGTAAGTTATTGACGATGTGTTTTTTCAGTCAAAACACTTTCACACAGCATAGTTTTCTCTGATCGCAACTTTTTCATACTGCAATATTGGCAATATTGAACGGTCACAGATTTGCCTCAGATTTCCGGCATTTGTCTGTGATTTTGCAAAAATTGTACATCATCAAAAATCAAAGAACATGGTATAAAAAGCTTAATGCTTCAACTAGATCTTCAATCAACCTTATCCTAAACATGCCGAAGTGTTAAAAAATATTCAAAATTTACCTTGTTTTTACAAGACTTTGAGCTCTTTACATTGGACAAAATGCTGTATTTAAATGATTTAGAGGGATGTCCAAAAACCTATGGATAGTCAAAGGTTTTGGACATCCCTTCAAATCATTTAAATGAGGAGTTCAAATCACTTCCATGACTAAAAATGCATAAAACTACTCATACATGCTACTTCCACAAACATTTGTTAAGGAACAGAGCTGTTGGAAATCAGTTGCAGCGTTGTGATTAAGTTGCCTCCTGTGCAGTATGACCATTTGTGAAATTTCCTCACTACTAGATATTCTATGACCAGCTTTCAGTGGTTTTGTAAATCAGAGTGGGGCATGCTGAGGAGCACAGTGTGCAACTTTCTGCAGAGTCAATATCTACAGACCCCTGAACGTTATGTGACCTTCAACTCAAGAACAGTGCAATACAAAGTGTTTGATACAGTGGTGTAGAGTAAGACTATAGATCATTAAAGATTTGTTTTCTGGAGAGATCAATCACACATCTCTATCTGGGAATTTGATGGAAATAAAGTTTTGTGGAGGATGGTTGTGGAGGGAGGGTGTAAGTGTGAGGAACCCTCCCAGTTCCAACATGACTGTGCACAAAGCAAGGTCTATGGATGAGTGAGTTTGGTGTCGAGGAACTGAACTGGCCTGCTCAGAGACCTGATCCCAACCGGACAGATTACTTTTGGGATGGATTGGAAAGCAAACCAGCCAGGCCATCTCATTTAACATCAGTGCAGTGAATTGATGAACGGTCAAAAAATTTGCCATAAATAAACTTTCTAGAAGCTGTTACACCTTCAAAGGGTGAGCCAACTCTATAATAAACCCTCAGACTAAGACTGGGATGTCATGAAAGTTCATTGCCATTTAAAGCTTTTGCCAATATAGTGTAAATGTTTACAAACCATGTGCTATGGTAATCATGTTTTGAAGTGATATCAGTTTTGTACAATGAACTGTGCAGAAGTGAGCCTCAATTGCTTGATTATCTGCACATTATCATCATGTATGAAAAAGGGAATAACATTTGTTGGTATTTTACTGTCTTCTGAGTTTCTTTTAACCCTAAACATAGAATATTGTATTTTTGAAGCAAAATGGTTGATAGAGGCATATTTAAAATATTCAAATTTAATATTGGAAATAAAGACCAACATATTAAGAAAATGACACATGTGAACACTGTTTGCGAGTGCAGAATAACTCACCAATACCATGATGGTGGTAGAGCATTGAGGTCACACCGTCAAACCTAAAGCCGTCAAAGCGATACTCCTCCATCCACCAGCGCAGGTTGGAGAGCAGGAACCGCAACACCTCCCAACTGTGAGAAACAGATAAAGACATGTTCTTCACAGAATCCACCAAAAACTGACCCTTCTCTGACGAAAAAAAAATAATAATCTAAAAATCAATCAACTTGAACACACTGATGCATACAAATACAACGGCAAAAAAAAAAAAAAACACTGATGTCAAGACATTATTTTTGTATCCACAATAAAAGTTACCATATTTTCTTATAAAATGTTTGAGTTTAATTTGAACAGTTGTTATTTATTAAAAACTTCTTTAATTAACTGACATCGTTAAAACATATATATTAGCAATGGATTCATTCTCTGAATAAATAGTAGCTGTAACTCAAGGTTGGTTGATTCAGCCCAAAAAGACAGATGGAGGGAGAGAAAGAAAAAGAGATCGAGACAGAGAGACAGGCAGCCGAAGCAGCAGGTTGTGTGGCGGGTGGTGCTGTGATTCCCTGAGGAGAACCATGAACGATGTGTGAATGAGGAGGAGATGAAACCTACTTAAGACTCAAACCATCATTTCATTACAATTGCCTTCTGAGAAGCACCTTCTACTGCTCTTATATGATATTCTTCACCCTTTCCTAATTGTTCAAGTGCTGCATAAGCAGAACTACTATTTAGAATAAGAAAATCCTTGGATGAAAGATCCAATTAATGCATTTAAAAAGTATTATGCATTGTTTTATATGTCACAACATGCTGTTTTCTACAGTAAATGATTGGGTTTCATATTGTTACTGTGCTGCAGCTAAAGAAAACTATGAAATGTCACCTAGAGAATATTTGCTTAGTGTAAAATTAAAAGCAAAAGTTTTTAATATCACAATACTTAAAAAAAACTATGTATCTCATATTTTAAATTGCACGAATAACTATAGAAATATAATAAATAGGAAGCATATCTATCCGCATTATACCGACAGTGTGTATATTTTGAAAGAAATTTCACTTACAAATGAATACATTTCCCAAATAACACCCCCGTGTAGAACAATCGTGTATAACAACTGTCATAAAACAATTTTCTTTATTATTTTACTTTATTTATTTATTTTTTGTCCCTGCTTAAGACTTAATAAAACTGTACATAATAAAACACAACATAATAAAACTGTATTAATCCATTAATGGTTTTTAGTATTTAAGACACAAATTATCCAATTTAAAACTTTTTATTTAATTATTTTAATTAGATATATTTTAAAAATAATAAAATCTCAGAAGTGCATGTTGTAAAATGTTGCTTTTTTAAATGGCTTTTTTGTTTATTTTCATGCCCCAATCTCCCCCTTGCTGACCCCTAGGGGTCCCCAAACCCCAATTTAAAAACTTCTCCCTTGAAAAACACCCCATCAACTACTTAGAAACACATTAATACGTTCCAAACTTTTGCACAGACAGGTACAACTCATATTCATCCTCAGCAAATCTAAAATTCAAGTTTTAGCACATAGAAACCCGGTCAAAAAAAGTAAATGGAATACATCCCCCTGATACACACTGTGAAACCATCACAGTGTAAATAAGCCCAGATATCCCACTAACTTTTTGGATGAGGCCCCCGCATGACTCTCATCCCCTCTCAATCTTTTATTCCTGCAATTAAACTGAGTGCTGAGTTTTCAACAGTGGGCCCTTGAAAGACTCCTGAAAAGAATCTAAGTTCCTCGCTGTCCCCAATCTCGTGCGCATTCAAACATGTGATTAGGTAGAACAGCGGGGATTCAATTCTAACCACGCTATGCTTTTAATTCTTTGATTTTTAACAGTTTCAAGAGTTCACACTTAGCTGATGATTTACAAAGCTTATTTGGCATGCTGTCCCGGGAGAGAGCCCCGAGCTCAAGGGCTCCTCGAGCCCGGGGCTTCCTCCCGTTGGCAGAGCAAGAAGGGAGCCTGAGCTCGGTGGATCTCAGAACTCCCCTGCCGCTGTAGCTAAGGGAACGTAAGGAATTAGACCAGCTTGATTGTTAAGTATGTTGAATGTCTTTGGATGGTGGGAGGAAACCGGAGAGCCCGGGGAAAACCCACGCGGACACGGGAAGGACATACAAACTCCCCACAGAAACACTCACCGGTCCTATCGAACTAGGACCGGCAGTATTCTTGCTGTGTGGTTCACAGTGCTAACCACTGGACCGCCGTGCCGCCCAATTACAGGTAAAGGAGGAGAATAGGGGAGGAGGGGGGTTTCTTCCAAACGAAGATAAAGTGAACTGAAAATTTAGACTATTTATGGTGCCTTAGGGCTCATATGATTGGAAGATTAGTGATTAGCAAATGCGAGACTGGACGTGATAAATCATAAGCACGTGATCCTCTCGAAATTAGTTTATGAATAAACTTCACTTCAAGAGTTCACACTTAGCTGATGATTTACAAAGCTTATTTGGCATGCTGTCCCGGGAGAGAGCCCCGAGCTCAAGGGCTCCTCGAGCCCGGGGCTTCCTCCCGTTGGCAGAGCAAGAAGGGAGCCTGAGCTCGGTGGATCTCAGAACTCCCCAAAATGCAGAAATTAATCGCTCGGGACAGCAGCCGCGTATTCGAAGAAAAAACCCCCCAAAAGGCAGGAAATTTAGAGCTATATCCGGCTGCTGGATATAATAGAAGGAAAGAGGTTAAATGCATGGGCATTAATTAGATAGGATTAATAAGGGTGAAAAGAGGATTCTGATAACTCTTGCTGGAGTTAGAGTTTGAAGGAACCCCTGCGGGGTTCATGGTTTTCGGGGTTAAGAAGAAGGGGAGAATAGGTGGTTTGAAGCAGTGGAAAGAGAACTTTGAGTGAATCTTGTGGGAGTTGGAGCTCTAAGTGACCCCTGCGGGGGCCAGAGTAGAGTGAAGGTATGGAGCAGAGAGTGGAGGAGAGTAGCTCTTACGAAAGATGGAGCTTTGTGAGAGTTTGAGTTTAGAGCGGCCTCTGCGGAGGTTAGAGCTTGAGGGTAGGGTGTAGATAGGAGTGACCTCTGCGGAGGTTAGAGCTTGAGGGTAGGGTGTAGATAGGAGCGACCTCTGCGGAGGTTAGAGCTTGAGGGTAGGGTGTAGATAGGAGCGACCTCTGCGGAGGTTTGAGCTTGAAGGTAGGGTGTAGATAGGAGTGACCTCTGCGGAGGTTTGAGCTTGAGGATAGGGTGTAGATAGGAGCGACCTCTGCGGAGGTTTGAGCTTGAAGGTAGGGTGTATATAGGAGTGACCTCTGCGGAGGTTTGAGCTTGAGGGTAGGGTGTAGATAGGAGTGACCTCTGCGGAGGTTAGAGCTTGAGGGTAGGGTGTAGATAGGAGCGACCTCTGCGGAGGTTTGAGCTTGAAGGTAGGGTGTAGATAGGAGTGACCTCTGCGGAGGTTTGAGCTTGAGGGTAGGGTGTAGATAGGAGCGACCTCTGCGGAGGTTTGAGCTTGAAGGTAGGGTGTAGATAGGAGTGACCTCTGCGGAGGTTTGAGCTTGAGGGTAGGGTGTAGATAGGAGTGACCTCTGCGGAGGTTTGAGCTTGAGGGTAGAGTGTAGATAGGAGTGACCTCTGCGGAGGTTTGAGCTTGAGGGTAGAGTGTAGCTAGGAGCGACCTCTGCGGAGGTTTGAGCTTGAAGGTAGGGTGTAGATAGGAGTGACCTCTGCGGAGGTTTGAGCTTGAGGGTAGGGTGTAGATAGGAGTGACCTCTGCGGAGGTTTGAGCTTGAGGGTAGGGTGTAGATAGGAGTGACCTCTGCGGAGGTTTGAGCTTGAGGGTAGAGTGTAGCTGGGAGGAGCAATGAGTGGAAGAGAGTAACTCTTGCGAGAGTTGGAGCTTGAAGCGACCTCTGTGGAGGTCAGAGCTTGGGGGTAGAGTGTAGATAGGGGGAGATAGGTAGCAGTGAGTGGAAGAGAGTAACTCTTGTGAGAGTTGGAGCTCTGAGCGACCTTTGTGGAGGTCAGAGCTTGAGGGTAGATTGCGGATAGGAGGAGATAGATATCAGTGAGTGGGAAAGAGGATTTGGATAACTCTTGCGAGAGATTGGGGCTCGGAGCGACCCCTGTGGGGGTCAGAGCTAGAGGGTGAGTCATAAGGAGAAGAGAGGTAGTTGAAGTAGAGTGAAGAAGTTTTAGCTTGAGCGGACCCCTGCGGGGTTTGGAGCTTGGAGAAAGAGTCTAGGCGGAAAAAGAATAGGTAACATCGTGAAGAAGAAAGGACTGTGGCCGCTATGGCCGAATCCTGCGAGAGTTGGAGCTCAAGGGGGCCCCTTCGAGTGTCTGAAGAGTCTAGACAGGAGAAACAAGATCATTAGAGGTAGAGTGTAAAATAGATTAGTTGGGAGTGGAGTGTAGAGAAGAAAGGAACGAGAGGCTGAAAAGTAGGGTTATAAGGATAAAAGATTTGGAAAAGTTGGAAGAAGGGAACAAGCACAAATATAATACATATGTACAAACGCAGTAAATGCGCAAAGAACATGTGGATACAAACGTCTGCATCTGTAAATAGCTATTGGTGATTGCAGAAGATGCTAACTGCAATGGCCCTTGAGGGAGTCCTTGGCAAACATGTAAGGGTGCCATGGGTGGACAATTGGGCTTCTGCGGGGTTTGGTTTGGATGACTCTTGCGAGAGTCGAGGCTCTGTTAGACACCTTTTTGAGTTGGAGCCGTGTGAGGAGGTGCTTGGGGGTTGGTTAAAGCCTGTTGGGCTTTCTTGAGGTGGTATTTACTGAGACGTATATAAGATTTGAAAACTTCAGAAGACCAGCGACCAAGGGTCTGGATCTGATGGTGTGAGAGCCCGTTGTAGTGGCTGCGCCAATCCTGAATGAGTGGCTGGAAAAGGGCTCTGGGAAAAAACCTGATAGGCGAAAGATTTCTTTAAGGTGTTTTTGAAACCAGAATCGAGATACTGGACGGTTAGCGTCATCAGTAAAAAGCGGGGCCAGTGGGTTAGCCTCTTGAGATTTTCTAGGCTAAGAGGGTTTGGAATGGGCGTGTAGGTGAAGGAATATTGAAAATGAGGATAGAGTGTCCTCTCTGGAATTAATCTGTTTTGCTTT